CCATACAGCCTTCCAAGTCTAGGCATCCCCTCTGGCAAACCACTTCAAGCACAGAACAGATGACTTCAGGTAACATGTAGCTGGTTCTCTCTGGAATTATCCTGAACACACATCTGACATTAAGCCTAACGACTATAGTCTCACTACATTAATTAGACTTACTCACAGAATTCCACCAACTTACTGATGTATCTTCTCCACATCAGTACTCTTCAAATTATCCCCAAAAACTAAGTTCATATATTATAGATGTTTCATTACTCTTCTCCCTTCTATAATTGACAAGACCAAGAATTTGCATATAAAAACTTCATTATTTCAGCATTGTGAGTCTTAAATACAGTAACTTGAAAGCACTCCAAGCAAATTGGTATTACTATATCCATGATTAAGAATCTAACAACTGCCCTACTTGGTCTGACCAGTGATCTCCCCAAGGCCAGCACTCTCTAGAAGAACTGCGGTAAGAGATGTTGCTTAAAAGGACACTATGCCAGCCTTATCACTACTCATTGCCCAAAAAAGGCATCTCATCTTCCTACAAATACATCCATTCCTATTATTTTGGACCCATTACCGCTAAATTTGTCTAATTTTCTTTGAACCTGTGGAACTTCTGAAGTTCTTACCAAGTGGTCCCACCAATTGCCCAGCTAAAGTCATTTTCAAAAGATTAAATAAGCTTTTCAGTATCAGCTGAAGGATCTTTTGCATCCTGAAAGACTATGTGAATAATGTCCTGTTTACATTTATCTAGCTACATTTAATGAGTTTTCCTGTTATCTTCATTTGGCCAAGTTTTCACATTTTTAGCACTATCCTTTTCCTTATAATACTGTCTTTTTAACCTTCCCACCAACTCAGAATAATTTTTTTTACCCCATAGCCTCAGTTAAGCTTTTTCTGAATTATAGTACAAAGTTTACTCAAATCTTTAAGATGGCATTATCAGAATAGCCTCTGGGTTGTTAGATGGCATGGATATCTTGCTTGCTTGGTAGTTCCCTATCCTGAATTTGAATGCATGTATAACAGATTGACTTGGATAGTTCTCTCCTGGTACAAAATTAAGATAGTGATCATCCTCTCCTTCTCTCCCACTTCAGCCTCCTAGGTCCAGTGCATGGCTCAAGCCCACTCCCAGAACAGTTCCTTCTCACACTGGATACAGGATTATTTGAAACAGTCATTTGTTGCATCCAAAGCTTTTATCTTCTTATAACATCCTGATGAGGAATCGATTTAACCTATATGTGGGTAGTTTAATCTCTTACTTTATCGCCACAAAATCTGCAGCTTCTCTAATCTAATTTAATATTTTCTCATCACAATCATCATCTGATCCAAAAGCTATTAATGTACTATTATTTTATTAGTAGGAATTTCCATTCACAAGGTTTTGCATGGTATGCTGCTTTTCCCCCACCCACAAGATTTTCATGCTGCTACACTTCATGCTATCTCTTCTGAAAAGTGCCACTCCCCTGCCTGTATGTCTAATCATTCCAGCGAAGTTAGCAGCAGATTAACATCATACACCAGTGATTATTATCCTTCCATCAGGCTTCCAACATCTATTATAGAGTGGCTGTCATTCAAATATGAGCATTTTTGTTTGTTCATCTTATCTTTCAGGCTTCAGATAAAAGTACATGTAAGGTTTGCTCCAGCTCTGCTTTTCAGTATTTCACATACCAGTTAACTTTAAGTCATATATTCAGTTTAATGCTTTCAAAGAATTACAGTAAGAGACTCCTCTGATACCACTGTTGCCAAAAAGGCTTTTCACAGATTTTCTTCATTGATCTGCAACCACGAGTATAATCTTGATAAATCTCAAACGCTTGATATTTCTTATTATTTCTCTTTCAATTCTCTAACCTACCTTCATATCAATCCTTCTTTTTGCCTTTAAAAAGAAAAGTTATCAGAAAAACAAATATCATTCATGCAAACCACTCACATTCGTCACGTTATTTTCAGAACTTCTCAATTACTCTCTTTTTCTTCTTCCCCCTGCCAGCCAGGGAGAGAGTCATGGAGCACACTTCTACATTGTCTTTAAGGCAGTAATTTTACCACCTACTTTTATTCTTTCAGCTGCTGACACAAAGCTAATTATTTGAGGTTTCGGGAATCTTTTGTTTGTTGCTTAGGGCATCCCACAATAAACTCTCATGTTTTCTTACATACATTTTAAATGTATGTTCATGTTTCAGTCACAATTAAATCTTTTTAAGTATTCGTACTGCAAATATTCCATCCACACACTGACTCGTATTTCCAGACTCCAAGCTAATATTCTTCTCCCACATTCCCTGCATACCAGTAGATCTATATGGTTTCAAGACAAACAAGTTGGTTTTCCATTATTCCCTTGCCTACTTCTGTCATGTATATAATCTTAGATTTCTTCAAGATTACAAATTTATTCTGACATAAGAATGCTGAGTCAAGAAGTAAATTACACTTTGTCTTTACTAAGTTGCTACGAGAATACCATTAGCAACTAATGCTTTTATACTTCTCATTATTCCAGCTCAAAATTTAAATTTTTGTGAAACACACTACTTTCACAAAAGGTTCAATGTCTGCAGAGCGGCAAAACCAGCTTTCTAACAATAGAATAACGAAGACAAGACACCCTATATACCACCCATAGCCTTCATGGATTCATCATTACCACCATCGCAATCATTATTTTTATTAAACAAGCAGCACATGACTCCGTAACATCTTCTGTTATTTCAATTCCTTCAATACCCATTCAGAATCAACATCATTTATAGCTTCTATACAAACATCTGCTAAAGCTTCAAATCTATACTGTTCTATATTCCTTTTTCTAGTTGAAATTCCTCAATGGATTGTTTACATAGACATAAGACTTCCTCTTTGGATTAACACTGAAATACTTTTGGCAAATGAGCTGACAAAATTCACCAACTGAACATTTGAGTATTTCAATCTGATTTTGCTTAATCAGAAAAAAATTCATTTAAAGCATTATTGAACATTCTGGTATCTGCTTCCACAGCTAGATACCTCTTCTTACACAACGACTTCAGTGAAAAGAGTGCATAAGCAGACCCTTCAACAGACTGAAAACCTGCTCATTCTTTGAATGCTGTCATTTGGCTACAGAATCATTTTTAACTTTTTGCCTTTCTGGTTTTAGAGACAAAGCTTTAGAAACAGTCAAGGACTGTTCCCAGATTGAGTCTAGTGAATAGCTAGCTGATTCTATTTCAGAAAGCATGGTGTTAATTCTCTCCAAGACCAAGATGTGAAGAAAAATAGATGTCTCCAATTTCTTTGGCAAATTTTGTTATAATCAGTAAGTTATGTATAAGCTACAAACAAGCATCTCGAACCCCCATGGTCATGAGAACAAACATAGTTACTTCGCTGTCCTTCATACTAGAATTCATGCTGTTAATAAGAGACACTGAGATGCCTGGTGCTATTTGTATTTCTGCAAATTTTTGTAAGTCACTCTTGAAAACAAATTGCCATCCATGTTGCCCTTTAGACACCTACTTGCTGTTCTAAATAAAGTCTTTAGTGTCTCTACTTCCTTTGAAAATTAAGATGATGGCACACTTATATCACCCATGTGAGATAAGAGAGATTTCAAAACATAAAATATTAAGCAGTAAGCTCCACCCGTAAGGAAGAAAAAGAAGTGAATTTGTCCCTGCAGGCAATAACCTTTTAATCACGCACACCCCACCCCACTTGGTGTAAGAGTATACCTCATTGATATTTCAACTGTAGATAAGTGTCTTCTATAAGGTGTTGTCAAAACAGTGTATTCAGTACATTCAGTTCAACTTTGAAGGAATGTTAATCTTGTTAACTTTAATGTTCTCTCTGTCTGTGGAGATTCACAATTCTCCTCTGAGCCATTAACACGTTTGGCATGAACACCATCTTGTCTCTCAAATTTTACTATTTAATTACACATTGGAAACACTATTTCCTCCAATGGCTTTTAAACCTTCCAACCTATTAATTCAAGGAACATTCTTGGTAATTCTCCCAATATTAATAAGGCACCACAATTATCTTTTAGACCTATTCTAACAGATCTAAGCAAAAATGTCTGTGGTGTGGGAGGTTTTCTTGCCTTTTTATCTTCGTACAACATTCTTAAGTATCAACAGTAATAAAGTGTAGTACTCAACTCAGTAGAAATACTCTTAGAGCATAAAAAGCCTGCTTTGACAAAAGCAGAATAAAGTTCTTGGTTATGGTTAAAAAATAAAAAAAAAAAAAAAAAAAAAAAAAAAAAAAAGGAATAATACACACCAAAGCATACCAAAAAGAATGGAGAAAGTTGAGAATTCCATGCACTTGATTAAATAAAAATATAAAATTGACATTTGTAATACAAACTGACAACATAATGCCTCTTCAATTTGAAAAGGACTTAATCATTACACCTCTTTGGCTGACCCAAAGTACTAAGTGTCCAGTACCAATCAAAGGGGAGGAAGAAGTGTCAAGACAAACAGTGGAAATACAAGCATTTTATGTATGAGGCAGAATAACCTAAACTACTAGCAAGATGACTTACTTTCAGAATGAGAGAAAAGGTTTAAAGCCAGGAATACTTCCACATATTTTGCTCTACCACAAAGCTTTGAAAGCTGAAGAAACTAAACAGAGATCTATGTTGTTACAGACTTATCAGAAAATAAAAGATTTCAAAGCCTCTCCTCCTTCATGGACACAGAATACATCAATTAACATATGTATTCTGAGGATAAACAAGGTTTTCCTTCTAGGTCACACCGTTTCTGTCACTCTTTAAGTGAAATAGTTCAGTATTACTGCTTTAAGCAGTCTAGGATTTTTCAAATTATTTTCTTCACATATTCCACTTAAAATCCACAAAATTAGTGTCATATTCTGATTTTTTTCATATACATATTTAAGCCCCAAGAATTTTAAAGATAGCTCTAAAAGCTGAAAATTAAAAGCAATCAACTGCTTACCCCTTTTTTGACAACAAAATGTGAGCTCCAATTTGCAAAGCATATCAGCATTCTCATACTTGTCCTCTTCTGCTTTAACCCAAAAACAGGATTCTGTCATTTCCTGAGGCCTGATCTACGATCAAGAGGTGAAACAAAATTTTATTAATTATTTGGATACTATGCAAAGACTGCTCTGTAGAGTCTAAAGCAAACTAAATACCCAAGAGCTCCATAAAACACATTCAATTTACATAAATATGTTCACACTAAGGACAAATGGAGAGACCTGCAATGCCTCTTTCCACAGGCCAGACTGGATAGATGCAAGACACTTTTTTGGAAACTGTATAGCTATTCATACAGTGCAGTGACTTGTCCCATGTAAACACTTTACTAAAACAGAAGTAGGATCCAGCAAGCATACTGGTACCAAAGTTGTATTATTCTAGACCAGAACTGACTCTTCCAAGCATCTCAGAACGTCACGTATACTTGGCCCAGATGATTCAGGAGTCAATGCAACACAGTTTTCAGAAAATAATGAAAACTAAAGGCAGTAAATATTCATACCTTGTCTAATTTAACTAAAATTACAATTGGTCTATATAAACTTTACTCCTGACAATCTATTTACCCTGAGGTCTATGTAAAGGTTTTATATCAATCAGTACTACCTTGGACCAGTTGAGTCTTTTCATGGTAACCTCAGGTCTGAATTCTTTTTTAGGCTTCATTCCAAATGGCAAAGTACATGAAGGTGGAGACCACTGTGCTCCTGGCAGGCCTGGGAGAGGTGGTGGTAGAGGACCACCACCACCAGCCAGAGGAACTCCCAAGCCATTCAAAAGTGGTGGAGGAGGAGGGGGAGGCGGTGGTGGTGGAATTGCACCATTAGAAGGCAGTGGTGGAGGAGGCGGTGGCGGTGGAATTTGATGTGGTCCTGCAGCTTCCAGTGGAACAACAGATGCATCTCCACGTGTTGATGGTAGAAAACCAGGTGGCAAGGAGCCATACTGATAAAGAAAATATTCTTATTCAGCTTCACATCTTTATCAACAAAATGCCATAATAATCACAGTTTATAGATTAAATCCAGCAAGCCAGTTGAAAGTCAGTACCATTTTTTCTTTCACAGAACTACCAAATATAAATTATAAGGAGGCAAATTTGCTTTTGATTTCATAATCTGAATTCTCAATAGATGTTTTCCAATATTGGAAACTGCAGGAGTTATAAGTTAACTCAAGTATTACTCTCAAAAACCTGCACTGTTCCTCTCCATCTCATTTTAAAATCTCTATTTATGCTTGAAAATTGAAAAATTATCAGGAATAGTTCTTATCCAGCCACAGGTTATTTCTTTCACTGCTGGATATCCATAGTATGGCTTCAGCAAAGCAAACTGTGTAATGAATAATTTCCTGTGGAGGGATAAAGATCATAGTGATGAATGCTAATCAAAAAGTGTAAGACTTATTACCCTATGTGGTTAATTACTTTGCAAATACATGACACCAAAAGCAAAACCCAAATGAAACATAAGAAACTAGTTTAATTAACAGAACATAGGCACAAAAAAGATCATCTGAGAACTCAAACAGCTAATTACTGCCACACCACAATACTTAGCGTAAAACAGAAATAAAGGAAACAGTCAATAACAATGATTCTTTGAAAAAACCCTCAACTGGACTATTATAATCTGCAAAAGATGCAAAATGAAGCCCCTTCCAAAATCAATACTTCATACACTCATTTAAACTGTCTTATACCTGTGACTTAAAAGCTTGCAATTCTGCTTCAAGTTCACTGATTCGTTCTTCTTTTTTTTGCAGTAGGGCCTGAGTCTCCTGATGAACTACAAAATCTTTTTCAAACTAAGGAAAAAAAAAAAAAAAGTTGTTACTACGAGTCAGTCTTGTGTAGTTCCTTTAGATTCCAACATTTCCTTTTGTGTTTATTAAAACTCGCTTGTTAACAATACTACGGACACATACAACATTATCTGTTATTCTAACTTCCATGTATCCAGTAAGTGGATGTACCACCTCTATTACCACTACAAGTCTTTACTATAAGAAATGGCATAAAGAAGTATTGCATTTAAACTAGAGGCAAAGTAGCTTAAAAAAATTGATGTATAGTAATACAGTCCATAGATACAAATGAGTTAATTCTTATTCTCCCACACTTTATCTTGTTGAAGAAACTGATAACAGTTCAAATCAAGTATTCAGTTGATTTTTGAGATCTGTACTTGAAACCTTCAAATAAATAGTAAAAATACTCAATCTTTTCTTAAGCACCTTTCTTTGCTTCCCAGTCCACAAGAAACATCCAAATTCCCATGTAAACATAGAATTAATAGTAACTTGAAGTTTAAAACTATGCCATGTGCAGTTACAACATTCATGAAGCTATCAAGTAATCCCCAGTGTCCATCCTACGATCACAAAACTTGAAAATTACTTACTTTTCTAGAAAGTTCAGAAGCCCTCTCTTCACATTCTTCTAATCTTGCTTTATCTACACAAATATCTTGAAAAATAAACAAACACACTTGCACATATATGGGTAACACAAGATTCTTAATCACATGTACAACTTGAACTTCGTTTTTTGAACATATAAAGAACTATGATACTGTAACAATATCTAAATATAGTACTTACCTATTAAGTGGCTGAAATTTATATCTAATCTTTTACGATATGTGAAGTCTGGGTCTGTTCCACTTCGATGTAACACTATCTGGGATACACACTCTTCAATTAATTTGAAATACTGTGGACTAAAGACACAGATGAGTTCTTTTACAGTATATTTACTTATAAACGTGTATTTAAAATCTTGTCTATGGATGCAGTAAGGACAAAAGACCTAGGCTGACCTACTTGCATAGAAGGGTAGGTGTAAACCCTAATTATAAGCTCTGCATCTCTCCCCTTATAGAAATACAGAAAGAAAGGACTCCCTCCTGCTTCCTTCCAGTAAAGAGAAGGCTTTTCCTTCAGATCGACCCCTTCTGGTTTTGTGAATTTTTAACTATGGATTCATTGCAGCCTTGTTTCAGTAAGAGGAATGAAACCATCTGCTAAAACTCTGGGGTGTATGACAGCTGTGTCACTTGCCTAGAACCTGAAAGGGTTGAATTCACAGCTTGCAGGTGGAAGAGGTCTAGCACAGGTGCACCCATGTCACACAAACAATCTTAACCTTTAAGAGTACACCTATGATAGACATTGCCTGAAATGCAAGGTTATATAGAATGCTGTGCAGAAAACAGATGGCTTTCCTTCTCTGTACGCTTCACATCTGGTTTCTCCAGAGTTTCCTCAAAAAGTATGTGAGCGTATTTTAGAAAGTATCTGGCAGCTTGAAATATCTCAGAGTTTCCTAACTATTTTCCTGTAATTTTTCTGATGAATTTTCCAAGAGACAGTAATGTGTTCACACTGACCTATAATGTATATTGAGAATACACAATTCCCAACCAAAAGTTACTCTAAATTAAGCATATATTAAGATTTCTAAGATATAAAGTGCACTTCTGTGCATACCTGGTTTTGACCTTTGACTCAAAGCCACCAGAAAATTACAATGCTACTGTCACAATTTATAGCCAATTAAGAGACCTGACCTGATCTCTTATACCTGCAGTCAACAAGATTCAGATCTCAACAAAAATAGTATTCTATATTTATATATGAAATTGTATCCTAAGCAGAAGAGACAAGAACATATAGATGGCATTCTTCAGAGCTGATACTTTGGAACATAAGTTCACATAGGAATAGTTAGGAACTACAATCTACACATTAAAAGACTAAGCTGTATTTATCTTTACATTTACAGAAGAAATCTTCTATTAATGGACTGAATGACAACAAAACCCATAATTAACATTTAACATAGTATTAACCATACCGTATAAAATAATCATTCCTTATCAGCAAAAGATGTTGGAGAATAGAAAGAAAATATCCTTCAGCGCTAGTGTCCTTAACTGTATTCCACACCATGTTGTAAACATCATTTACTTCAGTGAAAGTGTTAAGAAGAGTAACAGCAAGGAAAAAAAATATTTCACTCAAATACTGACTGATAACTTTTAATAACCAGAAATTATACCAGAAGAATGTCCTTTATACACGTAATTTTGTTCACGTTTCTTTTTCTGATATCAAAAGGATATTCTAGTTCAGATCTAATATCTTCTAAACGATGAGAGAATTCGATCATGTCTTCTTCCTTATGCTCATTGAACACTTTCAGCTGAATATCTAATGCTTCATTCTTTATACATTTCAATTGCTGCAAAGAAGAAATAGTAGGAAGGCTTGCAAAATTCGTATTTCCATATATATATATATATAA